AGAAAATCACCCGGCTACCGATTCAACATTAGAAGCTGCCTTCTCTTGAGTCACCACACGGGTGGCGCTGTGGGGTTAAACCACAGAGCCTAGGACAGGGGTCAGCAAATGTTTTCAGCAGGGGGCCGGTCCACTGTCCCTCAGACCTTGTGGGGGGGCCAGACTATTTCTTTGGGGGGGGATGAACAAATTCCTATGCCCCACAAATAACCCAGAGATACATTTTAAATAAAAGCACACATTCTACTCATGTAAAAACACGCTGATTCCCAGACCGTCCGCGGACCGGATTCGGAAGATGATTGGGCCAGATCTGGCCCCTGGGCCTTAGTTTGCCTACCCATGGCCTAGGGCTTGCTGAGCAGAAGGTCGGCGGTTTGAATCCCCGTGGCGGGGTGATCTCCCGTTGCTCGGTCCCTGCTCCTGCCCACCTAGCAGTTTGAAAGCACGTCAAAGTGCAAGTAGATAAATAGGTACCGCTCCGCTGGGAAGGTAAACAGCGTTTCCGTGTGCTGCTCTGGTTCGCCAGAAGCGGCTTAGTGCTGCTGGCCACATGACCCAGAAGCTGTACGCCGGCTCCCTCGGCCAGTAAAGCGAGATGAGCGCTGCAACCCCAGAGTCGGCCACGACTGGACCTAATGGTCCCTTTACCTTTACCTTCTCTTGAGTCAAACCATTGTTCCACACAGCTTAGGGTTGTTCCTTCTGCTGCACCAACTGGAAGTGGCTGTCATGGGTTTCAGCCTGGAGGTGTCCTTGGGAACTGAAATTGGGACCGTCATGTATATATATAATTTGGGACCGTCATGTATAAATTGGGACCGTCATGTATATATATAATTTGAACTCTATACAAGAACAAAACCCGGCGGCCTGTCGGCCACGTTACCTTCAGACAATGGCTGAGATTAATCTACTCCCAATCAAGGAGGCCCAGTACACCGAAGAGTACACTACATCACCTCCAATAGGGAGAACCATCCCCAAGGTGAACTCACCAGGCTCTTGGGACAAACTGAGGTACCTAGATGAGGCAGAGTTAGGCCACAATCAAGTCCCGGAAAAACACCTACAGAAAGAGATAACATACTTCAAAGGCCCGGTGACCACTAATGTCAGTATTCAACACTTACCAGCCGAAGCTATAGAACATTTGGCCAGTCTGCCATGCCCGGAAAACAATGGGCCGGCTCACAAAAGAGTAATCCCTAAAAGTTCCTTGGGAAATAATTGACAAAGATCAGACCAGAGGGAAACACCAGCCGGCTCCCTATCTCCGCGGAAATTCGACACCATTAGAAACAAACAGGCTCAATCCTTACCTACAAACCAAGCAAAAGTAGTTCTTTCCCTGAAAGGAGCATCCAACCCACCCCAGAGCCTTAAAATTGTCTCCTGGAATGTTAATGGCTGGGCGACAAAGCAAATGGATCCTGAGGCAATAAACTTTATCTCTTCTTTTGACATTGTGTGCCTCCAAGAGACCTGGTCCCAACAAAGTATCACTCTCCCATATTATTGTTCCTTTAGCTCCTGTGCTCGCAAACTAGCTAACAGGGGTCGCCCTCAAGTTGGCCTCGCCTGTCTTATCTCAACCAGCTTATCCCTCACTATCTGCGAGGAACTTAAATCTTCCCCTTACTTTCTCACTATAAAGATCCACCTTCCAAAGACCAAAAGCCCATGGTTGATAACTACAGTATATCTGCCTCCAGCAATTAATGATTCCGACCGTAATGAAAGATGGTCTGAACTTTCGTCTTGGCTTCATGACCTTCAAACAACTAACCCAGGACTTCCTCAAATCCTCTTAGGTGACTTTAATGCAAGAATAGGTCCCAACGACGATGCTATATTATCTTCCGCAGCACTTCTGGACAATCCCCTGCAGCACCCCTGGGGAAATAGATGCTCTCTTGATCCCATAACAAATGCGTCGGGGAGGCTGATGGCCCAATTGGCCATCGAAAACGATCTTTGCATCGCAAATGGCAACGTTACTCCCTTGTCCTCGCAGCAGTTAACGTGCATCTCTTCCCGGGGGACCAGTGTTGTCGACTACATTCTATTGACGCCAGAGCTATTCTCAATTTCTACAAAAATGGAAGTGGCTGAATATTTTGGTGGTGACCACCTTCCATTGACTTTAATGTTAAGCCTAATAGAGCCATTCTCAGTCCCCTCGAACTATAGTTCCACCGTACAAAGCTACCCTGTATATAAAACAAAGAAATGGACAAGCCTCAGCTCCTCTCTTGCCCTGGACATACAAAAATCACTTGATATGCCTACAGTTCTTTCTGACTCAATTCCGCCCGCTGACCAATACCGGAAATTAATTGATGCTTTTTCAACAACTTACATAACCATTACCTCGCCTACCCACCAACGCTTCTTCTCCGAATCACCCTGGTTTGACAAGGAATGTAAAGTCCTAAGAAGGCGAATTAGGAAAATGGTCAGAATCATCAAATTTTCCAACGACCCCCAAACCCGTGCAGAGCTTCTAGTTACTAAAAGGACATACAGAAACATGATTCATTGCAAGAAACAGCAACACATCCTTGAGGCTTGGTCCACTCTTCGTTCAGCTGTAGAGAGGCATGACTCCCGCTCCTTTTGGCGCTTAGTTAGGCCTTCGGCACCACCCAATTCAGCTATCCTGATTTCCGCTGACGAATGGATCGCTTATTATTCGGCCAGTTTCGCTTCTCCAAATAATCTTACAGATCACCTTCAATCCCCCTCGGACCTCTGTTCCCGTTCTCCTAGCTCCACCTCCTCAGTAAATTTTACCTCAACCCGTATCTTCAACATCATAATGTCCATGCGTAGGAATAAGGCCCCCGGCCCAGACATGGTCCCGTTGGACCTTTTCCTGACTGATCCTCTTTGGTGGAGTGAACAGCTGACTTCTGTATTCACCGCTATCTCCTCCGCCTTAGACATCCCCGACTCCTGGAGAGAAGCTACAATAGTCCCGATTTTCAAAGGCGGCCAGCCAAACATCCCTAGGAACTATCGCCCCATCAGCTTACTATCTATTCCGGGGAAAATATTTGCCGCTGTCTTACTGGAAGAACTTCTTTCATGGGTCCATGAGAGAAACATTCTACCGCCAGAACAGATTGGCTTCCGGAAGTCAGCATCAACCATGGACCACTGTCTAACTCTTTATCACCTTGCCAGTAAATACACTGCACCAAGGCAAGGCCACCTGTTTGCCGCTTTCATGGACCTGGAGGCCGCCTTTGATTCCATTCCTAGACAGAGATTATGGTCCAAACTTGCCCATTTGGGAATTGATCCACACCTCCTTTCCCTAATTATTTCCCTTTATTCAAACACCACAGCTCGCGTTCGAATTGGTCCCAACGGCTACCTTACCACCCCATTCCCAACGGCCAGGGGCGTCCGACAAGGTTGTCTCTTGGCCCCTTTACTGTTTAATCTTTATCTTCATGACGCCCTTTCCCCTTTGAAGCTAGCAACTAAGTACCCTCCTCACTTAGCAGGCCACCCCGTTGCTTCCCTTTTCTATGCGGATGATGCCGTCATCTTATCCAGAACAGCTGCGGACCTAGCAAATGCAGTTAATGCATTTATCGCCTATTGTAAGGCGGAAGCTCTTAATATTAATTATAAAAAATCGAAAGTTCTCTACTTCAATCGTTCCCGCAAACTCAAGCTGGAGCCGCTTAAGATCACAGGTGGCTACTTAGAAAAGGTAAAAGCCTTTAAATATCTAGGCTTAATATTTACTTATAATCTCTCCTAGACCACCCATCTACAATCTGCCTCTCTTGCTGCAACTACAACCTCTAATGCCATTGTCCGATTTTATCACCAGAAGGGCGGCAAACACCTTCCAGCAGCAATTCAAATGTTTAATGCCAAAGTTGTCCCTAAACTATTATATGGCTGCGAAGTATGGACTACGGCAATATCAGGTAACTTGGATCGCCCACTTCACATGTTTCTGAGATCTCTTTCCGGCGTCCCAAGATGTGTCTCAGGTGCAGCCTTACGTCTCGAGTTCGCCCAGCCCTCAATTGTAAAACGAGCATGGAGTCGAGCCATTTCCTACAGCTCCCACCTACTACCATCGGATGCTCGAATTAGAGGTGGTTTCTCCAATCTGATCCTAAGAGATATTCATAATTCTCCTTGGAAAACTACAATTAATCTCAAATTCCGCTCTCTTCTCAATTTGAACCGCAAAACTGTTTTTAATTTAGAGTGTATAAGCCCGGCAGCCCTACCTCTAATCAAAAAGAAGCTGCAGCAACTTGACTTCTCTAACACAGCTTCCCATGCAAGAGGGCCGTGTTCAGGCTTAGCCCTAGCTATTCCACCCCCTGAAGGGATCCCTCTATACTGCTTTACAATTCCTTCGGAGGCTAAACGAAGGGCCTTTACCTGTGCCCGTCTCAACTGTTTTCCTACAGCAGTTCTGTCGGGTCGTTACTCCAGAGTTCCCAGCGCAAATAGAACATGCTCCTGCAATGACACGGTTCTGGAGACTATGGAACATGTAATGCTCTTCTGTCCCAACTGGACAGATGAAAGATCTCGGTTCCTAACTCCTCTCGTGAACAAGCTTCATCTCCCAATCCAGCCTTGGATAGTGTCCCTTCTTCTGCAGGATTCTGACCGTTGGATTACCGAGATGACAGCTAATTTCCTGCTTAGTGTGATGAAGAGGAAAGCGGCACCAACTCCTTCCTCAATACCACAGATGTAGTCGATACGCCGCACAATCGAACCTGTTTTTTGTATTCTCTGTCACTCAATGTTTTAAATCTCCCGTTACCTTTGTTATCCCCATTTTCTCAAAGTATTCGCCCAGAACGGCATACACTTTTATCTCCCCACCCCCATTTTATGTTGTTATTTCTATGTATATTATGCTATGGCCGCATGGCTAATGCAATAAAATCATTATAGATATATATAATATTTTTATTAAATTTTCAACAAAAATAACAAAAACACACAATAACAACCACAAAGAAAACTGTACACAAAAACAATGTCAAATCCATAAAATGGGATTCTGTGAACCCTGTGACTCCCCCCGCCCCCGTTCCTTAAGTTTTCTACATTCCAAGCAGGTGCTCTACCACTTAACAACGATGCTTCCCAATTCCAACGGACTTTCAGTATCGCTTAGGGCTGCGTCACATTCTGTTCTCACAGTGGCTGACCAGATGTCCTAATGAGAAGCCATCAAACAGGATCTGAAGCACAGAGACCCTGTGGCTTCTAGCAACCAGTATTCAGAAGCATTTGCGCCTCTGATTGTGCAAGCAGAGCAGAGCCATTGATGATCTCCTCCATGAATTTGTTTAATCCTCTTATAGGTTGGCGGACATCATCTTGTAGGTGTGAGTTCCACAGTTTAACTCTGCGTGGAAAAGTCATTTCTTTTATCTGCCACAAATCTTCCAGCATTCAGCTTTATTAGATCTCCCTCGTGTTAGGTGAGGGGGAGAAAAACGTTTCTCTATCCGTTTTCTCCATGCCACATATAATTTTATCATGGCACCTCTTCGCTTTCGTAAACTAAAAAGTCACAAAAGTTGCTACATTTCCGTGTTGGGGAGTCATTTCACCCCTTGATCATTTCGGTTGCCCTTGTCTGAACTTTCCCCAGCTCTATGAAACTGAGAGCAGAGAGCCAGGTAAGAATTGCACCTTAGCTTCCTGCTCACCCAATTTCTCAGCAGCCCACCTTCCTTCTCTCATGAAGGAGGGTCTCCACATCTCAGGCAACCTTCTGCAAAGGTTCAGGGGGCTGATGCACCAAGCGCTGCCTTCTAGCAGCACCTCCACCTCCCTGTCCGCGAGAACACGTGGGTGACTCGCTCCCGTATCTGCCTCGTTCTCACCCCATAGACGATGGGGTTGAGCATGGGAGGAACAATGACGTAGAGGTTGGCCAGCAGGATGTGGATGCAGCTGGGGATGTTGTGGCCAAAGCGGTGGGTGAGGAAGGAGAAGAAGGCAGGCATGTAGAACATCAGGATGATGCAGATGTGGGAGCCGCAGGTGCGGAGAGCCTTGAGGCGGGCCTCCTTGGAGGAGAGCTGGAAGACGGCCCTGAGGATCAAGCCGTACGACAAGGCAATGAGCACCACGTCCACCCCTGAGGACAGGAGGGTCGTCGTGAAGCCGTACCAGATGTTGATGGTGATGTCTCCGCAGGCCAGGCGGGCAATGCCCATGTGTTCGCAGTAGGTGTGCTGCATGGTGCTGTGGCCACAGTAGGGCAGCCTCTTGAGGAGGAAGATGGGTGGGGACATGATGCACAGCCCCCTGACCACGGCCGCCAGGGCCACCTTCCCAATCACCGACGGGGTCAGGATGGCCATGTAGCGCAGCGGGTCGCAGATGGCAACATAGCGGTCAAAGGCCATGGCCAGCAGGATGGTGGACTCCGCGATGAAGCTGAAGTGGGTGAAGAACATCTGGGCAATGCAGGCGTCGAAGGAGATCTTCCTGGAGCCGAACCAGAAGATGGCCAGCATCTCGGGCACAGTGACCGTGGACAGCAGGAGGTCCGACACAGAGAGCATGGCCAGGAAGAGGCACATGGGCTGGCGAAGGCTGTGGTCCATGGCAATGAGGAAGAGGAGGAACGAGTTCCCCAAGAGGGCCACGACGTACATGAGGCAGAAGGGGACAGAAATCCACACGTGGGATTCCTCCATGCCGGGGATGCCGGTCAGGACAAACGTGACGGGGTCAAAGCTGCTGTCATTGAGAGCAGCCATGATGACGGGAGGCGAAAGGTCTTCTCCGCTGGTGTCTCCTGCTCCTAGGGAGAGAGAAAGATGACAAAATCAATAGCCCGCAGGACCACATCAAGGAAGTAATAGCACCACTGGACTGTAAGCAGTAACAGTGGGAAAGAGAAGCAGCACCTTGAAGGGTGTGTGTGTGTGTGTGTGTAATGCAAATCTTTAAATCTGTGTTAAATTTGAATGAATTTGTTGTGAATTTCTTAACAAAACTGGAAAACTAATAAAAATTATTTGGTAAAAAAAAAGGTAACAGCACTCCTGTATTCTGCCTTGGTGAGGCCCCACCTGGACTCTGGTGTCCAGTTCTGGGCACCCCAGTTTCAGAAGGATATTTTCAAGCTGTGCAGAGGAGGACAACCAGATGTTCCAAGGTCTGGAGACCAAGCCTTATGAGGAACGGTTCAGGGAGTTGGAGATGTTTAGCCTGGAGAAAAGGGAGACTGAGAGGTGATAAGAAAGCCATCTTCAAATATCTGAAGGGCTATCACATGGAAGATGGAGCAAGCTTGCCTTTTTGCTGTTTTGGAGGGCAGGACCCAAACTAATGGATCCAAATGACAAGGATGGATGGAGATTCTGGCTCAACATTTGGAAGAACTTTTTGACTGTAAAAGCCTATTGGCGGTGGAATGGGCTCCCTTGGGAGCTTGTGGGCTCTCATTCTTTGGTGGCTTTTAAGGTCCGTCTAGTTAAAGCTCTGGTTTTCCCAGTAGTGATGTATGGAAGTGAGAGCTGGACCGTAAAGAAGGCTGATCGCTGAAGAATTGATGCTTTTGAATTCTGGTGCTGGAGGAGACTCTTGAGAGTCCCATGGACTGCAAGAAGATCAAACCTCTCCATTCTGAAGGAAATCAGCCCTGAGTGCTCACTGGAAGGACAGATCCTGAAGCTGAGGTTCCAATACTTTGGCCACCTCATGAGAAGAGAAGAGTCCCTGGAAAAGACCCTGATGTTGGGAAAGATGGAGGGTACAAGGAGAAGGGGATGACAGAGGACAAGATGCTTGGACAGTGTTCTTGAAGCTACCAGCATGAGTCTGACCAAACTGCGGGAAGCAGTGGAAGACAGAAGTGCCTGGCGTGCTCTGGTCCAGGGGGTCACAAAGAGTCGGACACTGCTAAACGACTAAACAACAACAACAAAGCAGAGGTTGGATGGTCACCTGCATTGCAGGGGGTTGGACTAAATGACCCCTGCTGTCCCTTTCAACCCTACAATTCTATGATTCTGTTACTCTCTTCCAGCAAGCCGAATTGGTACATCTGTGGAAAGCCAGTATGAAGAGATCCCTGATCCTGATTGTTCAGAGCTACAACAAGGGTTTGTTTGATAGCTGCCAGCGTTGGTCTTGCCTTTGACCTTTTCACACCTTTTCTGGGCTCTCTTGGTGCTTGGCACTTCCCCATCTGCTGCTTCTGGCCCCAGTGATAGACACAGACACAGCCTGTTGTTACAGCAGGAGGCAGAGGCAGCCTTTGGGCAAGCCTTGTGGAAGGGAGAGAGGGAGGGAGGGAGGAAGGAAGGAGGGAGGGAGGGATGTCCAGAAAATAGAAACACAAGACGCATTTAGGTGTTCAGATCCCTGCACAGCTTTTAAAAATGATTAACGAAATAATTATTTGGGTGCCCCAGGCTGTTCTAGACTTGTCCTGAAAACAGGGCAAAGGAACAAGTTCTGCACTCCCTGCCCTCTTACCCCCCAGTCGCTGAGAGACACAAAGAATAAATCCTAGGAGCATTATAAGCCTCCCTGGGGGCCCCATGTTGTCGTCTTGGCCTGCTTCTCTGTGCAACATCTAACTGGGTCTCTTTGGCCCAGCTGCCGGACTTCCCTGAGGTTCTCATGCAAGTAAGGCAAACTGCTTTCCCGGTGAATTCAGCCAGGCTTGAGTCCAGTCCTTCACTCTACCCAGTGCCAGAAGGTGGCTTTGAATAGGTCTCCCCATAGCTCAGGAAGAATCCCATAACTGCACGTGACAAACAATGATGTTTTCATGGTCCTACATTCCATTCCCAGGGCCACGCACAGAGCGGTCTCACAGATGTTCGTTCCTGCCCTGAGTGTCCTCATCAGTTGGCAGCAGAGCCACAACGGGAAGGATCTCAGTGCCTCTGCACTGTCATTGCTCGGTGGGTGACCTTCACGGCCAAGTGGGGATCTGAACCCTGGTGTCCCAGGTCCCTGTCTCTCTGGGCCAAGCATTGTCTGCTCTCCATCTCGGGCCAGTCATCCTCTCTCCTCCAAACATAGGAATCTAGGACGCTGACTGATAGGGAGTCAGCCTCTTGGTCCATCTAGCTCAGGGGAGTCCAACACACAGCCCAAGGGCCACATGTGGCCCTCAAGGCCTTTCTGTGGCCCTCAACAACATTTGGTGCCTTTCCAAAACCGGTAAGCAAGGCACTGGGCTTTGGGAAGGAAATGTGAGAGCTCTGCCAGCGTCCTGGGACCTCCACCATGCCTGACAGAAAAACTGAGCCACATCCCTTCCCGTACCCACCTTGCAGGGTTGTGGTGAGGATAGAACAAGCCCGAGGGGCAGCTGTTTAAGCACCTTGGGTTTTCTGGGCATGAAAGCAAAGCAACAAGCAGGACTTACTTTCAGGGCGGCTGCTCTTGAGTTCTCAGGGACACTCGCCTTGAGCAGCAGGAGGTGAGGAAATGCCTTTGATAGGAAGAGAGCGGGCAGAAAAGCCCCACCACCGCTGGGGAAGGAAGTGGCACTGGTCTCAATGCTTCCGGACTGGGAATTCCAGCAAGGGGGGCGTGCTACAGGGAGCTCCCAGCTGCAGTGGGGCCATCCAGGCTCTGAATTAAAGATTAACAGGACCTGTCTGAGCTCTTTCCTTCCTGCCTGCTCCTTTGGCGTTCGCATGCCAAGGGATGGGAGTCCTCCGCATTGCCATGGAAACCTCTGCCCGCCCACCCACCCTTGCCTTTCCCTGTCCGTGCCAGCCCCTTCTCCCTAAGACTGCCAGCAGAGTCCTTTGCGGTGGAGGGAGAGAGGAGAACCATCTGCTACCTGCTGCCAAGGACTGGCGAAAGAGGCGCAGCCTGCTTAGCAACGGAAGGGGACGTCCAGGCAGGATGCCTACATAAGAACCTAGGAGGAACCTAGGAGGCCAATGGTTCATCTAGTTCCAGTGCCCTGTTCTCAAAGTAACCAGGGTTGTCCCGTCCCCCCACCCAGAACTCAGTTCCGGCCCCTCTCAGGTGGGTGCCATTGCCGTTATAAGAGAACAAGGGAGAAGTTCGTGGTGAGTTCCAGCAGCTCTTTTTCTGGGAAAATTGCACAGGCAGTAACCAAGGAGTTGTCCCCAGTGGGAAGCCCTCAGGCAGGATTCAAGAGCCCTCTCCCTTCCTGCGTTTTCCAGCAACTGCCGTTCAGAAGCATCACTGCCTCCAACCATCAAAAGCTCTTTCCACCTCCATGAATTTTGAAATGTGGTTGTGCAGAAGAGCAGAGGTCGGAGAGAGAGAGAGAGAGAGAGAGAGAGAGAGAGAGAGAGAGAGCAGGGAGAGTTATTGGCACGGGGTGATGGCAGGGTCATGCACTGCCTTTGAGGGGTGCTGAGTCCCTGCAGGTCCTGAATTTTCTGGGACGTGCCCCTTCATCATTGCCCAGGGAGCTTCTCTTGAGTGCCACCTGTGTCTGCAGAACAGACACCATTCTGAGCGTAGCTCAGCAAACTTTTTCAGCAGGGGGCTGGTCCACTGTCCCTCAGACCTTGCAGGGGGTGGACTATATGGGGGGGGAATGAACAAATTCCTATGCCCCACAAATAACCCAGAGATGCGTTTTAAATAAAAGCACACATTCTACTCATGTAAAAACACGCTGGTTCCCGGACCATCTGAAGGCCGGATTCAGAAGGCGATTGGGCTGGATCCGGCCCCCGGACCTTAGTTTGCCTACCCATGGCGTAGGATATGCAGTGTGGCGAACAGAGCTATTAGAAAAATGATCTCATAAGACCAAGGGACACAAGAGGACAAAAGGACCACGACCATTTTCATGCTATTGGGCATGATTTTATTGTACAAACGAATAATGAAGCACACAGATGCGCCTTCAGCATATAATATGGTCTGGCTTGTATGAATGTGTCTTATCATCATCATAATTTTTGACCCATTACAATCTGACTCCATCAGAGAAACAATTAGTAATGAAATAGCTGCAATAATAAGAGGAAACCAGTGGGTTATAATTTACCCAATTCATATCTGAAGCGGGTTTCATGTATATGCAAAAATTCCTTTATAATGTCTCATTATCCTTGCATTTTGTTGATTTTTTAATGCTGATTTTAGTTACAGCTTTTGCATTTTAAGCTGTCTTTCTATTGACAATTGCACCAAAAATTCAGCAAAAACCCCAATTGTAATAAAAAGGATGTGGTGGTTTGTTGATACTGCAGATTGAGCTCCATCCCAATTAAATTTCATTTCATTTATTTTATAAAATTTACACAGTGCTTGATTGAAACAACAACAACTACAGGCAAAAATAAAATAAAACAATTGAACGCGTGCCTGGAATCCTCAGCGCCACTTCCCAGGCCGCCAGAGCAGCTGAACCAGGCACTCGCGGATCTGCTTGGTTTTCACCCCATAGACAATGGGGTTCAGCATAGGGGGCACAGTGACAAAGACGTTGGCCAGCAGGATGTGAGCAGGGCGAGGGATGCTGTTGGCTGCAAACCTGTACGCGAAGATGGAGAAGAAGGCTGGGACATAAAACATCAGGATGACACAGACATGGGAGCCACAGGTCCCCAGGGCTTTGGCCCAGGCGTCTCTGGACGGGAGGCGGAAGACGGCACAGAGGATCAAAGCGTACGAAACGGCGATCAAAACCGTGTCGACCCCCGTGGTCAAGAGAGCCACGGTCAGGCCATACCAGATGTTGAGCGTGATGTCGGCACAGGCCAGCCTAACGATGCCCATGTGCTCACAGAAGGTGTGGGAAATGACGTTGCGGCCGCAGAAGGGCAGCCGCAGTAGGAGGAAGGTCAAGGAGGCCATCAGGCAGAAGGCCCTCACCACCGCAGCCACCAAGATCCTCACGATCCACGAGGGCGTCAGCACAGTGGTGTAGCGCAGCGGGTCGCAGATGGCAACGTACCGGTCGTACGCCATCGCCAGGAGAATGGCCGACTCGGCTACGAAAAGGAAGTGGATGATGAACATTTGGGTGACGCAGGACCCAAAGGCGATCTCCTGGGCGTGGAACCAGAAGATGCTGAGGGTCTTGGGCATGGTGGTGGTGCACAGCGTCATGTCAGCCACGGCCAGCATGGCCAGGAAGAGGAACATGGGCTCGTGGAGGCTGCGCTCCTTGGCGATGACGAAGAAGAGGAGGCCATTGCCCAGCAGAGCGAGGAGATACATGAAGCAGAAGGGAATGGAGATCCACGTCTGAGATTCCTCCAGGCCTTCCACGCCAACCAGGATGCACTTGGCGATGGTGAAGCTGGAGCGATTGACAGCTGCCATGGCGGGGAGACGTTTCTCTCTTGATGGCCCTGTGAAAATGGGAGGAAGTGCAAGCATCAGCCAGGTGAGCAGCCACTGCCTCCCCCTGCCCAGCAGCATCCAGCGCATGATCTGTAGTCACACATTCACACATTCTGCTCCCACCCAGGTCCTCCCACTATTGAGCTGTGAGTCGGCTGAGGTACGTTGGGAGGTCTGAGGCAGAGGAGACTGCAGAATGCCCCCTTGCTCAACCTTCCATTAGCTGCCATGTGTGGTATGTGACATAAGCAGTCAAATACAGCATTTCCTGTTTGCCTAGACTGGACTCACAGGGGGGATGTTGCTCCAGCCAGGAGGACTTCCTGTCACACCTGGTCTGGAGCATCCTTCCTTTGCATGTGACCAGGTAGGTGGACGTGACCCTTCCAGACCCCACAATCTTCCATCATGTTGCCTCTTCCTCATATTTGCTCTAAACTAAAAAGTCACAAATCCTCCTGCCACCTTTCCAAATATGGGAAGTTGTTGCCACATCTCCCGGATCATTTTTTTCACCCCTTTCTGGACCTTTTCCAACTTTGCAACCTTGTTTTCGAGGGGAGGCGTCCGGATCTCTACACCCTGCGGCATTTGCAAAGTAAATTCATAAAATGGCATTACAATAGTGTCCCCTTTATTTCCCACCCGTTTCCTAATTAATCCTGGCATGGGCTGCGGAGCTCATACCTTTGATCCAGTCACTCTGTTTGGATAAGAAACAGATGAGAAGGGCACTTACGGCAAGTGCAGAACCCAAAGAAAAACAATATAAACTCTACCAGTTCCTTGGTGCAGATGGCCTACTGAGTTGACCCAGGAAAGCTCTGGGTGGGGCTGGGCTTTCCCTGTTCTTCATAGCTTCCCTGCTTACACAGAGGAGACTGGACAGCTGGCAGACAGTCTTCATGAGTCCAAACTCCTGAGGTCCAGCTAAACTGACAGCATCTGTGTTATCTCCCGCTTGGGCTACTGCAATGCGCTCTACGTGGGGCTACCTTTGAAGGTGACCTGGAAACTACAATCAATCCAGAATGCTGCAGCTAGACTGGTGACTGGGAGCGGTCACCGAGACCATATAACACTGGTCTTGAAAGACCTACATTGGCTCCCAGTACGTTTCCGAGCACAATTCAAAGTGTTGGTGCTGACCTTTGAAGCCCTAAACGGCCTCGGCCCAGTATACCTGAAGGAGCGCTCCACCCCCATCGTTCTGCCCGGACACTGAGGTCCAGCACCGAGGGCCTTCTGGTGGTTCCCTCGCTGCAAGAAGCCAAGTTACAGGGAACCAGCAGAGGGCCTTCTTGGTAGTGGTGCCTGCCCTGTAGAACCCCCTCCCGTCAGATGTCAAGGCAATAAACAACTACTTTACTTTTAAAAGACAACTGAAAGCGGCCCTGTTTAGGGAAGCTTTTAATGTCTGATGCTGTATTGTTTTTAATATTCGGTTGGAAGCCGCCCAGAGTGGCTGGGTATTATTATTATTATTATTATTATTATTATTATTATTATTATTATTGGAATCTGCTGGATCACCTTGTCCAGCCTCCTGTTCTCACAGTGGCCAACCAGATACCCCAATGCGGAAGCAGGACCTGAGCACAAGAACAGCTCTCCCTTCCTGGGGTTTCCAGCAACTGGCACTCAGGAGCATTGCTGCTTCTGAGGGTGCAAGGGGCATTTATAGCCCTCACCTCCTCCACGAATTTGCCTAATCTTCTTCTAAGGCCATCTAGGCAGGAGGCCATCACTAGCTCTTGTGAGAGGGAGATAAGAAGGAATTTCTCTTATCTGTCCTGAATCCTCACCATCTTCTATCCTGCCAGTGCCCGTCCACTGGGAGTGTTTGCCCGCTTGCTCTTGCCAGGCGGTTCTGTCATTCCCCTTACCTCAGTCACCAAAAAGGTCGTGCAATGTCTTCCTGCTTTTAGCAAGCATAAGGCAATAAACAGTCTGATCCGGGACTTTGCAGCCCTGATGGAAGATGGACCTCAAAGCGGCTTCTCCAGAGCACTTCATAAGAAGGCAGCCACTGAAGGTCAGCAAACGGGGGGAATCTTTATGTCTTCTTCCTCCTCCCTACCTCAGAGTCCCAGGAGAGGACCTGCAGACAGCAGAAGTCCAGAGGGAGAGAGTCGGTTGCAGTAAATGAAAGGGCAGGGACATCATTTATGCCGAGAACTTTAGGGCTGAGCAGGGATTTCAGCAGCAACTCC